TATATATATATATATATATATATATATATACAGGTACACCACCAATTTTCCGGAACCCTTGGTTCCAATGCCTTTCCGGATTATCCGTTTTTCTGGACCAAAAGAGGTTACATAATAATAATTCAAAAATACACCTCTGAGCAACTAAATACCTCCCATCATGTCTCCTCCCATCATCTCTAAAGCACCCATGCACTGATAGAAATGTAAACAAATATTAAATGTAAATTAATGTAAACCACCACCGACACTTGCACCTGCCTTAGACGCCATAGCTAGGGTAAAATTTGAGCAAAACAAGATGGTGGCCACCTGGTGAATTTTATCCGCACTAAAAGAGGTTCCGGACCATCAGTGTCCGGAAAATCGGTTGTGTACCAGTATATATATATACATCTATATACATAGCTATATACGTAGATAGATAGATAGATAATAGGTTTATTGCAAAATTAGTATTTACAACGTTACAATTAAAATAAGTTTTGCAAACACGATATCATGTCAGGCAGTATAAAACTGAAATTGATGATATTTACAATAATATATGTCCCATAGTAAGACATAGATGTCACTTAAAATATTGGTTCATAAAATTATATCACTACAACTAAAATCTTAACATCTTTACAGAGCTATTTAGATTCTAGCAGATTCTAGCAGATTAGAGCAGATTATAGTAGATTACAGGAGATTAGAGGAGATTATAGTAGATTAGAGGAGATTAGAGGGAGTATCATCTTGACATCTATTAAGTTTTGTGATGTGTTTACTGATGTCGTTACCTTGACTGGAGGTTCGATGTCGTAGAGACCACACCTGATCGCGAAGCCTGGCAACTTAACGAAGTTTATCTGAGCAATCCTCATCCTGTCATCACAAGGAGAAGATGGTGTTAGAGCAAGAGAGGAGGAGAGGGAGAGAGGAGGAGAGGGAGAGAGAGGAGGGAGAGAAGAGGAGAAGGGGAGAGGAGGAGAAGGAGAGAGGGGAGGGATAGAGTGGGAGAGAGGAGGAGAGGGAGAGAGGAGGAGAAGGAGAGAGGGGAGGGAGAGAGAGGAGAGAGTGGGAGAGAGGAGGAGAGGGAGAGAGAAGGAGAATGAGAGAGAGGAGAGGGAAAGAGGAGGAGAGGGAGAGAGGAGGAGAAGGAGAGAGGAGGAGAGGGAGAGAGGAGGAGAGGGAGAGAGTAAGTGAGAGAGACAGAGAGAGAAAGAGAGAAAGAGACAGAGAGAGATAGAGAGAGAGATACAAAGTCACACACACGTACGAGCAACATGCGAGCGTTGCCGTGGTTACCTGTCAGCGGACACGATCTCCATGTTGCCATAGTCGATGTACCAGACCTCGGCGCGGCCGACGCTGTCGCTCGTAGAGTCCGGCGCCCCCTGCTGGCGGTCGGTGGCAGCGTTATCGCGCAGGAGGCGGACGACGGAAGCGCGGTACCAGCCGTCGTCGTTCCCAAACCTCACCAGATATAGCTCATCTACAAGCAGCAGATATACAGATATATAGCTCATCTACAAGCAGCAGATATACAGATATATAGCTCATCTACAAGCAGCAGATATACAGATATATAGCTCATCTATAAGCAGCAGATATACAGATATATAGCTCATCTACAAGCAGCTATAGCTCATCTATAAGCAGCAGATATACAGATATATAGCTCATTTACAAGCAGCAGATATACAGATATATAGCTCATCTACAAGCAGCAGATATACAGATATATAGCTCATCTACAAGCAGCAGATATACAGGTATATAGCTCAACTACAAGCAGCAGATATACAGATATATAGCTCATCTACAAGCAGCAGATATACAGATATATAGCTCATCTACAAGCAGCAGATATACAGATATATAGCTCATCTACAAGAAGCAGATATACACACAGATACAGCTTAGCTGCAAGAAGCAGATATACACAGATATAGTACATATATAGATATACACAGATACATCTCATCTACAGATGTACGTACACACAGATGTACAGGTGTGTGTGTGTGTGTGTGTGTGTGCGTGCGTGCGTGCGTGCGTGCGTGCGTGCGTGCGTGCGTGTGTGTATCTATCTCTCTGTGTGTGTCTCCCTCGCTCTCTCTCTCTCTCTCTCTCTCTCTCTCTCGCTCTCGCTCTCG